AGACACATGCTATTAAATGAAGAAAACACACTATCGGGAATAAAGTGAAACGATTAATGGGAAAATATTACAACGTAAGTCAGTGATTCTGGTAAAGTTTAGGCCAGCATAGAAGACCTTGCTGGCCCTGACGGCACACCACTGAAGCAACTATGTACTGTAAGTTATGATAAACACTGTTCTCCTCATCTGACAGATCATAAAATACAGTGGTAGGTTATAACAAAAAAATGGACAGATGACGCAGTTGTGCCCCACGTCATATGTAACTGATGTTGCTTTAAAACAACAGTTCAGCTCGCATCTGTGGTGGAGGGACTAAGATGCGAAGAGTCGAGAGGAATCAAGGGTGTACAATTGCTGAAATGAGATAATCGGTGGATCTACCCCAGATACAGGTTACCCACAAGGCTGGATTCTTTACAAAGGTAACAAACGTTTGGGTTGAAACAACACTATCAATCTACCTCGGGTTGTCAATTCCTCCATCAGTTAGCTGAAATGTAGCACATGTCATCATGTGGAACAATGAATGCTCAGCTTTCAGGAGGCAGCCATCAGTGTAACACTGGTTTATCTGACGAGGCTTATTGTTTAAAAGACAGCACATAGACAATACTGCAGCTATTTGGAGGATATTTCAGTGACTCTCATTTGGAAGGAGAAAAGCACTGTTCTCTGTCGTAAATGCATTTTGTGATTCATACTGAAAACCCAGATACCATATTCACTTGTCAAGTAGAACTTAACTGCTTTGCCAGAACACAACATCAGTGACAATGAAAAATTTTGAAACACAAATTATTAACACAATCACGAAGCTGCACTTCTTGTCATCTTTTTTTTGACCAACCTGCTGTGATTTATTTTGCTTTCTAGCTCTCTTAGTAACATGACCCCTGCACTTGATCTGGGTCAAGCACCCTCTTCACTCTGGCTGTCTGCAGACCTGCAGCGATAATGACACACCATGATTAGGTAGGAAATTGTTCTGAGAAAGAGCAGAGGACTGCGCCCCATAGGCCTCGACACCGACTATAAATCAGCGTGACCTGTCCGTTCCCAATTTAAAAGCAGCAATCAAAGGAAACAAAGAACATACTGTGAATGCTGTTTAAATATCTATAATATATAGACCAGCTCTATTCAGCAACGGTTATATTTTATTCATCTCTGTTGGCTTTCTGGCGTCAAATGCTTCAGAGTCCATAAATTGTTACTTGACACAGAGAAAACTATCCAAAACACCAAGCTTATACACTGCACGTGGTAATACAGGAGCTTTCAGGCTTTATAACATGACCTAGACTGAGCCTATCTGTGCCCTTCTCCCAGTGAGATCAATACTACTCAAAATGCAATAACAACAGAGGAGCTCCATTTAGTGACAGTGTCAGTGAGGGCCCATCACCTGCCATCTATCACCACACCTCCACCTTACACAGCCTACTCCCACATCCATTATACCTCATTAAGACCGAGATGAAAAACAGAACGAGAAATGAAGGCAGTCGGCAGAATGTGAGATGTGCCTTATAACCAGGAAATGCGGCTGATGGAGAGGCCTGATAGGTTACTGAGTTTATTATTGAGGCTTCGTTTACTTCCAGTAAACGAGGAGCGGGCGACAATCCAAGATGCACAGAGCGACTAAATGCAGGTCTGCCATCACTCAACAAAATCAGCGTCTGATTTATGTACAAGTTGCAGCAGACAAATGCTGCAGGACACACTGTGAGATGGCTTCATGCTGGAAGAGAAGTGACGGTGCTATATGGTAAGAAAACAAAAGCTATTTTATAATTCCTCCACAGTTACCATAGAGATGGCACCATGTTTTGTGTGTTGAGGAGGATACGAAGGACTGGTGCTCTCAGGGGAGAAACTGTGACAAAATGAAATGATGCTGATTCACATTCAGAGCTAGAATTAACTGCCTGGTCAATGTTAAAATGTCCAACTTCATAGCAGATATAACCACGTTTACAGTCTTATACAAAAACCCTGTTTGGTCTCAATAACTACATTTCCTGTTTATGATAACTGTACATGGGATGAATTTTTATACAACTCAACCATTTAAGTTGTATCAGGTTTAAAGTTATGCATCATGAAGGGCGTGGCTTCTTTAAATCTACCTCTTTGCTAATTTTTGGAACCAGTCGCAAGTGGCCATTTGAGGAACTGTACGTTTCACAATGTTTGATTAATTTTTCACCGCGGAGTTTGCCTCTTGGATAGTATCAGCAGGTGTTGAACAGAGACTGGTGTTTACCAGAAAATTACTTGGAGTTGGAATTTTTGTCTCATTAGATTAGAGAATTTTTAGCTTTGAATACACTTGGGGTCAAAGTGGCCTCTGTCTGTCAAAATGGAATGTACGAAAAAATTAATTCTGCAAATGTAGAGGATACTTTCTGAATCCACTGTGTTTGGTCTATTTATCTTTGCTTGGTTTATCTGCTTTTGGGTTTGTTGCACTAGTCTTATTTTAACAAAAAAAACTAAAATCTAAAAGTGTGAAAATAGATTTCCTCGTTGTCGGATGTAATAACAGATGTAAAAAATCAATGCAGGAGCAGCAGAGGAGCTCAGACAGCCTGAGGGCTCTCTTCACTTATTGATGAAAATTACAGTCAAATCTGTCTCAGCTGCTGAATTTGTCTCGTTTAACATCAGATAAACACACATGTGTGGTGAAGAATTACATAAAGAGAGCGTACTGCAGAAATTCACTCCTTAAATGAAACAAAATCCAATAAATTCTACTGTGCGCTTTTCAGTTAACAATTTATGGAGTGGACTACTATCTGTGATGCTGTTAATACCTGTGTGATAAGTTGTTTTGCAGTGTTATTGCTACTTCTACTTCCTGAACAAAAAGAATCCAATGCGAGAGTTAAGTTTTGTTTTGCTTCAGCTTCTGACAAATCTTCCAGAGGTGAAGCTACGACAACCTCAGCTGGCAGCAGCAGATATGAAGTGCCAGTGAGGAGAGTCTGACTGATGGCTGGTGGCTGAGAGTCCTGTCACTGGTTTAAATGAGCAAACCTGCCTCCCCACTGCAGACAAAACTGCAGGCTACGACTGTCTGCCTTACTGACCGCCCCCTCACTACACTTGTCAGGCACCAGCGTTGAAAATCATCCAGCAAGAGTGTCGCAATGAAAACACATTTAATTAGACAGGTAACTGTCACCTCGTTAAACAGATGTCAGAACGCTGAGTTCAATCCCTGAACTCCTTTAATTTAAAAAGTGAGCAGTGAACGATGCTATCAGGATTAAAATGCTTCCTCTGAGCTCAGTCTGCTCACATACAGGTGCTGGTCATATAATTAGAATACCATGAAAAAGTTTATTTATTTCAGTAATTCCATTCAAAAAGTGAAACTTGCACATTATATTCATTCATTACACACACTGATATACTTCAAATGTTTATTTCTCTTAATTTTGATGATTATACCTGAATACTAATGAAAATCCTAAATTCAGTATCTCAGAAAATTAGAATAAAGAACAAAGAAGGATTTCTAGAAATGTTGGCCAACTGAAAGTATGAACATGAAAAGTATGAGCATGTACAGCACTCAGTACTTAGTTGGGGCTCCTTTTGCCTGAATTACTGCAGCAATACGGCGTGGCATGGAGTCGATCAGTCTGTGGCACTGCTCAGGTGTTATGAGAGCCCAAGTTGCTCTGACAGTGGCCTTCAGTTCTTCTGCATTGTTGGGTCTGGCATATCGCATCTTCCTCTTCACAATACCCCATAGATTTTCTATGTGGTTAAGGTCAGGCGAGTTTGCTGGCCAATTAAGAACAGGGATACCATGGTCCTTAAACCAGGTACTGGTAGCTTTGGCACTGTGTGCAGGTGCCAAGTCCTGTTGGAAAATAAAATCTGCATCTCCATAAAGTTGGTCAGCAGCAGGAAGCATGAAGTACTCTAAAACTTCCTGGTAGACAGCTGCGTTGACCTTGAACCTAAGAAAACACAGTGGACCAACACCAGCAGATGACATGGCACCACAAACCATCACTGACTGTGGAAACTTTACACTCAACCTCAAGCAACGTGGATTCTGTGCCTCTCCTCTCTTCCTCCAGACTCTGGGACCTTGATTTCCAAAGGACATGCAAAATTTACTTTCATCAGAGAACATAACTTTGGACCACTCAGCAGCAGTCCAGTCCTTTTTGTCTTTAACTCAGGCAAGATGCTTCTGGCGCTGTCTCTTTTTCAAGAGTGGCTGGACACAAGGAATGCGACAGCTGAAACCCATTTCTTGCATACGTCTGTGCGTGGTGGTTCCTGAAGCACTGACTCCAGCTGCAGTCCACTCTTTGTGAATCTCCCCCACATTTTTAAATGGGTTTCGTTTCACAATCCTCTCCAGGGTGCGGTTATCCCTATTGCTTGTACATTTTTTTCTACCACATCTTTTCCTTCCCTTCGCCTCTCTATTGATGTGCTTGGACACAGAGCTCTGTGAACAGCCAGCCTCTTTAGCAATGACCTTTTGTGTCTTGCCCTCCTTGTGCAAGATGTCAATGGTCGTCTTTTGGACAACTGTCAGGTCAGCAGTCTTCCCCATGATTGTGTAGCCTACAGAACTAGACTGAGGGACCATTTAAAGGCCTTTACAGGTGTTTTGAGTTAATTAGCTGATTAGAGTGTGGCACTAGGTGTCGTCAATATTGAACCTTTCCACAATATTCAAATTTTCTGAGATACTGAATTTGGGATTTTCATTAGTATTCAGGTATAATCATCAAAACTAAGAGAAATAAACATTTGAAATATATCAGTCTGTGTGTAATGAATGAATATAATATACAAGTTTCACTTTTTGAATGGAATTACTGAAATAAATAAATGTTTTCATGATATTCTAATTATATGACCAGCACCTGTATTATTGTTATTGAAATGGGTTTTTCGTAATATGAAAAGAGGATTTCTTTGCTACGATAATGTGTCCATTGCTTAAAGGATACTCCCTTCTTTGCTTGTTTCTTGCATACTTTCCATCCCTGGGAGGGCAGCCGCAACACGACGAAACAGCTGAAAAAACAGAAACACAATGAAGACACTGATTAAATGAGGGAAACTCAGTTGAGGTGAAAATATCAAGTAATTTAAAGTCCCTCTTTAGTTGTTGATCTAGCTGTATCAAAGATAGATATTTAGAAGCCTTTTTCCATAAAAATGATACCACCATGCCTTAAAACGGCTTAGATATAACTCTATACTGCTGATTCCTCTAGAAAATGCATATCTGTGAAGCCCTTACTTCTCCCTCCACACTTAAAGCACCTTGAGCACACCAGCTCACATAAGACTCTGCTCAAACACTGTAAAACTGCTCTACACTACATAATGGCAAGATGTAACATTGAACTATTTCAGTCATACGTGTTCAAGCAAGACATCTCATCTTTGTTGTTGTCTTGCTTCGTCATCCCTTCACTGAATCAAAGCCTTGAACATTCCTGAATTCTCAATCAAGCTTTATTAAAATCTTTAAAAGCTTTATTAAAATTAAATTTTTAAGTAGCACTGCAGATGTAAGTGATAATTATAAGAATTGTTTTCTATTACCATACCACAATAATGTAACTTCAACAAAAATAAAAGAACATCACAATCAGTGCGGCTACTAACTTGACCTGAGCACAGTGTCAAGACGATATGAAATGAACCAAAACATTAGCAAACCAGTCAAATTATAGGCACCTCAAATGGTCAATTAACAGCAACAATTCAATTTAAATTTGAAGTCTATGTGCTTTTTTAATTGTTACTTCTAAGTCAGTAAGTATAAAAATGAAGCCATTACAGCTTTACGAACAGAAACCACACTGAAAGAAAAGAAACAAATCTCAGTACTAGTGCCATTCACACAGCTACTGTATATATCATTCCAGATTTCAAATTACGTCCATGTCTGCTCCATTTAAACACATCTACCATTTGTAATGACAGGATGTTTGTAGGTCTGGCATATCTCACTGGCACATACACAAGGTGTTTCAAACACCTGGCTTTGCGCTTTGTTGTGGATGTTTTAAAAACATTTTTTGTAAAAAAAAAAAAAAGGTGGTAAAACGTAGATAAAATCTTGACTTTGCTGGTTCAACGTGGGTGAGGATGACACAGCCAAACAATAGAGACACTGCAGCCTTTGCAGGCAGGACTGTGACCTTTGTTTTACAGGTTTCACAGCAGCTCTGGCATTTTGCCGTTAGTGTCCACAGCCCTGGAGTAAGGTGAAGAACAGCCTCCTCTGTCTGTGCTGCTATGGGGTGAGAGAGGCGCCTGCCAGCAACGCCATTCACTGACAGACACAATACAGCTGGCCTTCATCTCACTGCTTATTAACTTCACAGACAGTCGTTGTTTTGAACAACAAACATCTGTTTTAGAAACAGATCACCTTTGTTGAAGCAGGCTGTGCTTCTCTTTGTGTCTGCAACCTCCAAATCTATACTCAGCAAATGTAATTTAAGGCTTGAATGCAGCTCAGCTTTGGTGAGATGCTGATAGTAGCAGCATGGATGTCTGTATTAGGTGGCATGGGTATCATTAACAAGAGGCCCTTAAAGGTGTGACGTGGAGTTTTTGACTACTAATAGTGATAAAGCTATTGGATGAAGAGGAATTTGGTTTTTTGTTCGTGTCTTATGAACACACAAGCTGACTTGAAACATTATATATTACTATTGTGAATGTCATACTACAACAGGATTTCACTGTTGGTGGCAGTAATGCACCACCAAACAGCGCAATGCACTGCAAAACTTGGTGAAGAATACACACTGATGCATCCTTTACGTGCTCTTCTAATCACGACAGAATACACAATTGTTACTGCTTTGTACAGATACATACAAAGCCTGAAAAGGCAGAAGGACAAACTGTGGTATCCAGCGTGAGTCTGTCTAGTGCAGCTTTAGTTGGTCTGTCTATCTGCATCACTGGGCGACCTGCACAGGAAGATATAATCACGCTGCTTCATCTTCTGTAAATATGACATTAAAACACATCATTTCACTCTTGTCAAACTAATCTCTGTTCACACGTGTTTCTGAGCTGCTGCGCTGCAGTTACTGAGTGAAGACTAGAAGCTTCTCTGTGTTCAGCTGCCTAGTGGCATTGACTGATGCATGTGATGCCTTTAGTGAACAGTAGTACTTTGTAGCGTTGACTGACAGTCTGTATGTGATGCATTTAGGGCCAATGCATGTGATGCATTTTGCCATCGGCAAGTTGTAGCATCTACCGATATTCTGCCTGTGAAGCGTTCAGAGAACAAATTGCAGCTTCAGAAAACAGCCTGGGTTACACTCTGCACTCTCATTTGCACGAATCTCTGCATTGCAACACCACAAGTAAATTCTTAGCTGGTGCAAAAGACGGAGATCTGATAAAACAGCAACATAATGCATTTAGTGCAAAGAGTGCAGCCAAAGCATGTCTGGGAACAGAGCCCCTGCAGTGGAAGCACTGCTGTTCCAAAATGAACTGTTTCCAAGAAAGTTATGCTGTGCCGTGACAGGTGAGTGGCCGACAGAGCAGCTGTCCTTTCTATAGCGCTTCAGTGGAAGGAAGCGGCAAACCACGGCAGCCAGGAGTCAAAAATGATAATATAACTAAACACTTTGGTGGTGTCAATGCAGAGATTCGTGCAAATTAGAGTGCAGAGTGTAACCCAGGCTGTTTTCTGAAGTTGCAATTTACCAATGTTCTCTGAACGCTTCACGGGCAGAATATCAGTAGATGCTACACCTTACCGATGACAAAATGCATTGGCCCTAAATGCATCACATACACACCATCAGTCGATGCTACAAAGTACAACTGTTCGCGAATGGCCTCACCTCCGGATTTCCCCTAGGGGATGAATAAAGTATCTATCTGTCTATCTATCTCACTGCTTATAATATAGCCAAAGAAGAGCTACCTTTGACACTGTTATTCCTGTTCCTACAATCGTTACAGAATGTGTCACAAAATGATCAATGAGTTGTGGAATAGTTAATAAAGGTAATACTTAAAATGTATTATTTGGCCCTGAAATGCATAGTGAAAAATTCTGGGTGCACTTAAATTATGAACCAGTGCACCAAAGGGTAAAAGTTAGGCACAGCTGTGTGACTAGAAGTCAGTCTAAAGCGCTGAAACTGTCTGTGAGAAATTCAACCCTGCCGACTACCGTACTTCCTCGGGGGCTGGACAACTTCTGCTTAAATGTTGGATTGTTGTTAAAAAAAGTGCTGGATGCAGTCCCAACATGGGACAGGTGTGGAGCGGTTTGGCTTTATACGCTGTTCAACCATCTGGGAGGCACTTAGATTCAAGCGTACTTACACCTGAAGACTGCCAGGCAGAGACCATGAATAAATGCAAATCATGCTCATCAAAAACATCAAGTCTGAAAATGTTTTATGTGAAAGGAAATTCTTTCTGCATGTTTATTAGACCTCAAGGATGCACAGAGTGAACACAGAACTCCACAGGATACATTTCAGCTGCATCATTTCCAGCCTTAATAACTGTGGTATCATGAACATGATCAGTTATGCTTAAGAGGTAAATAAATTATCTAATCCACTGATGTACACTGTCTAGAAAATCTTGAACTTAGACATAATATGTGAATATATGTCCACAACTGCTTCTGTTTCTCCTGGAAAAAATGTCCTGGATTTCTTTTCTAAGACTTTCTTAAAGCTCACTCACCTGTTTGACGTTGTAACCCGTCTTGGCGCTGGTCTCTATGAACATGACACTCAGCTCTTTAGCCCTCTGTTCACCCTCCTCAATTGTGATTTGCCTGAAAATAGAGGGCAATTTTTATTGAGACACTGCAGATTAATGCACTGGAGGTGATGATATACTGTTTACAGAAACTGGACACAAAATGGAGCCTAATTTTGTCATGTTAACGTTCATCAAAGACAAACAGATGCCATACAAAGACTCACACTGAAGCAGCTATTTGCAGCTTGTTTTTTAAGCTCATGAGTCCTAATTGGGTAATTGGCTGAGAATGATTAATGACATTGTCCTGTGAGAAATTAATACCAGCCAATTTGCATTACATTACAGTGTTTCCTCCACATTCATTTACAAGTGGCGGGCTGCCATTCCTAAATCCTAGCCGCCGCTCCTTCAAATTTATTTATTTTTTTTAAATTGTCACAAATACACCACCGCTGCGTGTGTCCATCTTCACAGCAGAGTCCTGCACTAGGTTGGGTACTCGTGTCTACTAAAGTAAACTACAGATAACTATCTTGCTCAGAATCTACTCTTTGGGGGAGGACAATTACTCGTGAGAGCACGGCCCTGAAAGTGACATCACGTCCAGCACCAGGGAGTCAGAGGAGGGTCACTCTGGAGAATAGGGCAGCGACTTACTGGAGAAAAGGTAGACTTAATAGCTTAAAGTAACTCAGAATAGATTCTACATGTTAAATAGACATTCGTAAAATATTGATAGCCAGCTAACGTTATGTAACATATCAATATCTTAAGTTAATTGGGCCCGATGCCAACTCAATGTCGCTTAAGTGAGTAAACTAACTGATAGCATTAAGCTAATATCTACACACCATGATGTAACTGCTGACTGCATCTTCAGATGAGCTTGTTCAAATATTTCTCTAAGAAGAGAGAGACACCTGATGAAGATGATGCTAGTCATGTATCATTAGCCTTTTACTGACTCATAAATGATGATGTTAGGTAAAAAATAGTGTTCACACTTGTAATCAGATGGGATGTGAGTGTAAATGATCCAACATTAATGTTTCATTAAATCGCATAAGACAAGTAACATTAGACAGGGAGAAGCAGTGGAACAAAGTGAAGGAGAACAGAGTACAGCAAGGGGAGAGCAGAGTGGAGGAGCAGGAGAGAGTGATGAGAGGAGAGGAGTACTGTCCCTATAGAAATGTTCTGAAACAGGCTGCAGGGGGATCAGCTTGCAGCATGTATGCTGCTGAGCATCAGTGGCCACCTCTTGGAGAATTTCCCTACAACAGAACTTAGAGCTCTTTTATTAAAAATTTAAAAAAATAAAATAAAAAAACAAATAAAAAAAATTGTTCTGAGCCTGGGTGCAAAGCTTGCCACTGATTCTACAGCCCCATCAAGAAATTAGTATTTGTTGTTTTTATTTTTATTTATTTAATTTTATTCATTTTAGTTTTGTTTTTTTTGATTATTATTTACATTCAGCCTTTAAAAAGCCATTTTCAACTGGCCATTCAATAAATAGGTTGTAAAAAAAAAATCTGCAGCCAAGTGTCATTTGTTTACACTGCCACGGCTCCCTGGAGAGCCTGCCCCCACTGCTGAAAAAATCCTAGAGGAAAAACTGCATTATAATGAATCTGGCAGTGACCGCTTGGCTCTCGATATGAGATTGTGTCAGGTGTCTGTTAACACAACGATGGAGATCAGTGCTGACTCTGCAGCTCATGTAGCCAGCAGGTGGTAACAAAAAACTAAAACAATGAATGAAGATGATCGGTTTAAATCAACCTGCCACCCGCCTTCTGGGAAAACTATGACATATCCAGTCCGCCCTCTTTATTCTTCTCTGCACAAGGCCTCCGAGGCATTTACCCATTAAAAAATATAACTTCAATTCACTCCTAAAAGGTTGCAACACCTGACTAAACACACTCAGAGTGACAAGTTGTTTCCCAGCTTCAAACACAGCTACATTATATTTAACTGATTCTCCTACTTTTCATCACAGCACGGAAGAAAGAGAAACTCAGTCTGTGTGAGATATTAAAAGAAGTTTCTACAGCGAGAACAGAAAACACTGCACTGGAGATGTATTTACATAATAACACCACCTGACAGAGTTGCACCAGTGCCTCTGTGACTATTTCTGGATGCATGCGTCTGAGCTCCAACTTCAACAAAACCGAGGCTTATTCATCATCAGACAGACGGTTGGCAAGAAAATTGCATGAGAAGAAGGAAACGTGGCATCCGAGCTACATTCACCCATGCTAGCAAAGTAGTAATAATGTAATAGACATATGTGGATTCAGCTCTTATTTATAACACATTTCATAACAGCATAAAAACAAATTTAATAATGATAATTATTTACGGTAATCACAAATTCAGTGGCAAATTTTGACAAAAGGATTGATTTTAACAATTTTTCTTTTTGTTGTTGTTCAAAAACTGTATTTTGCTAATTGGCCTGGTGTCTATCCAAACAACTTGACTGTTTGCTTTCAGCAGCCAAACCTTGAGACTAAAGATAGGCAGAGTTTAAAGTAACAGCCCTGACGCTCTGGAATACCCGCCCTGAGGAAATATGTCAGACTGGGGCTTCTTTCAAATGTAAACTTACAACATACTTTTTTCACACTGCAATCCTGATTACTGATTGCGGTTGTGGTGGTGGAAGTGGCTGGGGTACAGCACAGGCAGTACTTGGCTGCTGATGCCAGTTTATGATAGCGGTCACACTTCTGTTTCCACCATCGGTGACCGTGGCGGGGGAGTGACGAGCAATTTTAAAGTTTTTATTTTAATATACGCTCCACCATTGCCATTTACTTCCGTAAACACTGAGCATGCTCGCTGCGTGTGACGTCGTTGTGTCCTTTTCTGCACATGCGGGATACTTTTGGGCCGTATGAAATTCACACAGGAGATCACATACAAGTCGCATTGAATTGGAAATGTGAACAAACTCGCAAAAAATCAGATTTCACAAAAAACTTACTAAAAATAAATAAATATTTCATCAAGAAAAAGAAATAATTTTACTGTTGGATAAATAACCTCAAGCCCATGCATTAAGTAAAACCAAATTAACTTTAAAGCAGATCTGAAAACAAAGTCTAGTAACCGTGTAGAGCAATGTACTAAGTTAAGCAGTGTTCAGTAGTTTAAAAATCCCTGAGCTGCCTGCTGTCATTGTGCAGCTCCGCAGGCTCTGCTTGGCTGATGCTGCCTGCTGTACGATGCACACTAGAGCTCCAGGGGATGTGCTGCACCTAAACTCTGCATAGTTTAACTCCCTCAACACTGAGCACTGTGAAAAGCTCTACCACACACGAATGAACAAACCAACAAACACAGCAAGAGCCCAGCTCATAGAGGCACTCCAACCGAGGACTCGATAATTAAATTCCATTACACCACAGTAACGCAACACACAGAAATCTTTGCTTCTTTTCAAGTAATGCTAAAAATTGTATCACTGACTTACTTGAAGATGGTTTTGAAAAGTCCAGAAAAATACACAGATACATATAACGGGACGAGAGAAAAACATGCTGCATCTCTGGCAAATTTTTATCTGTGAATATAGTAAAGAATAGCAGCGAGCTCCACTCCAAATCATAAGCGATGTATCAGGTGCACAGGTGTTACAAGAATGAAAACAGACAGGATGCTGGCACTCACTGATAAATATTCATCTTGTTTATTGTGGGATGAAAAACGGAACATATTTCAGCGCTAAGCCATTATCAGCGTAATCGAAAACAGCAGATATGCCAATCTATTAAAAAGGACAGATGAGTGTAAATACCAATCCATCCATCCAGCATCACTAATTGAAAGAGTATGGGCTGAATCCCCAAGATAACAGAAAACTAAAAGAAGATGCACCGGCTTATTTACAGGGTATTTAGTTAATTTGAGGTCTACTAGAATATGTTTATATGCTTTAATGTCCAAAAAACACATTATATTTCACACACTGTTTAGTGTTTTGGCAGCTCTTCTCACCCTCCATCTGAAAAACTGCAATTACTTCCTGTCTCCTTAAGGCCCCCCCCCTCTCTAGCCCAGTCTGCTCTGATTAGTCAGCTGGTTTGCAAAAACAAGGTAACACTGGTTATGTGTAAAACCAGTCCTCTGAGGATGGGGATGTAGCTCTATTGAAGTAACTCTAGTCGTGAAAAATGGTGGCCTGTGAAGAAGCTGCTCATTCTTTGTTGAAGGGAGTACCAAACTGGTACCAAAGTAACCGCTGGGCAGGCGTTTTGCAAATGAGTTTCATGGAAATGTAAATAAATAAAAGATGAAAAGCCTGAAAATCAAATGAGGTGTTTCAGACAGATAAGGAGCAGTGTCTTCTGTGGGGAAGAATAACTCTGTTTGGCGTAAACATGCACAAAAAAGCTAGAAACATGCCAAAGTTTAATATGGGTTCTTGAAAACAATACAGAAAAAGACTGCATCATAGCAACACATCAACACTGCACATAAAATTAGAAGCTCTAAATATAGTAAATCTGCTCCCTCACATTTTTGATGACTTTCAACTCATCTCTCAGTGTCAGCTACAATATTTATAGTGATATAATGTGCCACATGTCCAATCAAGTCATTTCATCACTAGCTAACATCTGATGCACACGTGCCACATTTACAACATCTTCTTGCAGTGTCTGTTTAAAATGTGCCTGCTTGCAACGGGCTGATGGCAGCTTACAGCACCAGTGAGTGATCGTCATTCGTCACAGGAGGAATGGGATGTGTCAGCAAATAAACAGCTGATTCCTGTTGCCAACATTTAGCTGCAATTATTCAACCACATTGGTCTGAGACTGCGATCCAGACATATGACATTTTCTGCATTGCTACGATGCGTATAGGTTAACCTTTCAAGATACATCATGCAGCCAAATGGTCAAAGTGAGTGTGAGGAGCAGAGACATTGCTAAATAACCAAACAAAAGTCACTTGTTTTTTACATAACCCCACTATCAATGATAAAATTGATAGTGGCACAGCTGATAGTTACAAAAGACAGTGTCCAGGCATTAATTGGTTTTGGTACAG